TAAAATAAAATAAAATAAAATAAAATAAAATAAAAGACTGTGGTTTCCCCCATGGAATGTTCTTAGCTCCCTTGTTGAAAATCGTTTGACCATATATGTGAGGGGTTTTTTGACAAGCTCCCTATATTCTAGTCATTAGTCTATATATCCGTTTTAATACCAGTACCACACTTTTATTACTGTAGGTTTTTAGTAAATTTTTAGATCAGAGCGTGTGACTCTCCCAATTTGTTCTTTTTCAAGATCATTTCATTATTTGGGTCCCCTTGAGATTTCACATGAACGTTAAAATAGGCTTTTCCATTTCTATAAAAAGACGGTTGGGATTTTGATATGGATTTTATTCCATCCGTCAATTGCTTTAGGTACAATTGACCTCTTTACAATATTAACTCTTCCAGTCCATGAATGTGAGATGTTTTTCCATTTATGTCTGTTTAAATTTCTTTCAGCAATGTTTCATACATTTCAGTGTACAAGTCTTTCATCTCAATGGTTAAATTAAGTCCTAAGTATTTTACATTACCTGATGTAAAAGAAAATTGTTTGCTTTGTTTTCCTTTTGGATTGTTTGGTACCAGTGTATGGAAATGCAGCTGAGTTCTGTGTGTTGATTTGTATCCCACAAGATTGTGGAAATCATTTGTTAGTTCTAACAGCTGTATGTGTTTGCATGCATGCCTATGTGTGGAATCTTGAGAGTTGCTACATATAAAATCATATCATGGGTGCCCAGACTTAGTTTTATTGATTCCTTTCAAATTTAAATATTTTATTTACGTTTCTTGTCTAAATGCTTTGTCTGGGAATTGCATTATTGAAAATTGTGTAGTAGGAGCAAAAGTGGACATCCCTGTCTTGATCGTGATCTCAGGGGAAAAGCTTTAGATTTTCACCATCAAGTGTGATAGTAGCGATGAGTTTTACACATATGATTTTATCATTTTGTGTTTGCTTCCATCTATTCCTATTTTCTAGATCATTTTCTGTCATGAAAAATGCTGGATTTGACTGTCAGATGCTTTTCCTGCATGAAATGAGAATATCATGTTGTTTTCTCCCTTCATCCTATTAATGTGGTATATTATATTGTTTGATTTTCATATATTGAACCATCCTTGCATTCCAGGAATACATCCCAGTTGGTCGTGGTGTATAGCTGTTTCAATAAGCTGTTGAATTCAGTTTGCTACTTTTTTTTTTGAGGTTTACTGCATCCTTATTTATAAAAGATATTGATCTGTAGTTTTCTTCTAATGCTTTTGTGTGGCGTTATCATCAGCATAATGCTGATCTGAGAATGAGTCTCAGAATGACTCTGAATAAGTGAAGAAGTCTTCCTTTCTCTTGAATTTAAAAAAGAAAAAATTGAAGAGGATTAGTGTTAGTTCTTCTTTAAATGTTTGATAGAATTCACCAGTAAAGCCACGTGGTCTTGGGCTTTCTTTTGTTGGGAGGTTTTTGAATATTGATTTAATATCCTTGTTATTTATAGGACTGTTCAGATTTTCTATTTCTTCATGATTCAGTTAAGCATTTCTAGAAATTTGTCCATTTTATGTAGGTTATCCAATTTATTACTGTACAATTATTCATACCAACTTTTATAAGCCTTTTATTTCAGTAAAATTTTTAGGATTGCCCTTCTTTCTGATTTTACATATTTGGATTCTCTCACTTTTTCTTTGTCAATCTAACTAAAGGTTTTTCAGTTGTACTGATCTTTTTTAAGGATCTCCTTTGGTTTTGTTGATTTATCCATTGTTTTTCTTTTTATATTTTATTTATCGCTGCACCAATCTTTATGATGTTTTTCTTTCAGCTACCTTCGGTTTTAGGTTTATTTTAATCTTCTAATTTCTTAAGGTAGAGTTATCAACTTATGACATTTTCTCTTTTTAAATGTATGTGTTTGCAGCTATAAATTTGCTTCTAGCACCGCTCTTGCTGCATCATTAGTTTTTGTATGTTGTGTTTTCATTCATTTGCCTTAAGGTGTTCTTTAATTTTTTTTGTAATTTTTTTTTGTTGACCTCTTGATTTTTTAAGAGTGTAGTTTGATTTCTTTGTATTTGTCGATACTTGATTTTCCTTCTCTGACTGCATTCCAATTTTATTTTTCAAACTGTTTCACCAGTGCAATACTTGAATGGTTCTTTATCAGATTTTCATCAGTTGCCTTCTCGTTCATATTGTGTGACAAGGCCACATATATAGGTGTTTTCACTTATGGCCATTGGTTTCTGTAACAGTCAGAAGAGATTTGTGTGGTGAACAGAACAATGTCCCTTCCCCTCAAACAAGTCCATATCTTAAGACCCAGAACGTGTGAATATATTACTTTATATGAAAATAAGATTTAGGAGAAATGATTTTGTTAAGACTCTTGATATTGAAAGGTTATCCTAGATTATCAGGTGGACATAATATAATCACAAGAGTCATTATTAAAACGAGGTAGAAATGTCAAATTTAGAGAAGGGCAAATGACACCAGAAGCAAGAGTTTGCAGGGGAAGAAGATGGAAACCATAAGAAAAGACACATGGGCAGCCACTAGATTTTGGAAAGGCAAGGAAGAGAGTCTCCGAAAGCTGGGCTGATACTTTGAATTTATCCAAGTAACACAAATTTGGACTTCTGACCTCCAGACAATATATAAGATAATTTTCTGCTGTCTTAAGCCATTAAGATTTTGGCACTTTCTTAAAGCAGCATCAAGAAACAATATAACATGATTATGCTATGGGAAACAATCCCAGGAACTGGAGCAATGTTTAACTTGTTTACACTGCATATTTATTGTGTATTGTGAGCTGTGCACGAAACTGTCACACCAGTATCCAGGCCCTTGGAGCAGACTCCATCATGACATGTGGTCTCTGTGGAAATGGAAGTTGACCACAGAGTTTCTTGCAGAAATTTATATCCTAGAAAATATATTCATCAGCTCTTTTCACAACCCAGTTATCTAAAGAAGCCTCATGGTTCCACCAAAAGCAACTTTCAGAAGTGCGTCTTTCCATGAAGCCAGAAAGTGAACAAACAGATATATTTGGGGAAATGTGATACTTCCAGAGAGGGCTCAGCTCTTATAACCACGTTCTACCAAATCACTTAACCTCTCTGCGCCTCAGTTTTCTCATTTGTAACAAAGTCTCACTTACACAGACTGATTGTTAGGATTACTCATGATGACACATGCAATGTGCTGAGCTCAAGGCCTGTTCATGGTTCAGCTCAGTCAATGGGCTGTTGTTGATAGATAGCTGAAGAAACTTAGAGGATCAACAAAGGATGGAAAACTAACTTCTGTGTGTTACCCTCCAGGAGAGGCTGCTGAGAAGGAGCTGCAGGTGATTCAGCCTGACAAGTTGGTGTCAGTCGCAGCTGGAGAGACGGCCACTCTGAACTGCACCCTGACCTCCCTGTACCCCGTGGGGCCCATCCAGTGGTTCAGGGGGACAGCGCCAGGCCGGGAGTTAATCTACAGTTTCAGAGGAGGTCACTTTCCCCGAATAACATCTGCTGCAGACACCACAAAGAGAAACACCACGGACTATTCCATCCGCATCAGTAACATCACCCCAGCAGACACCGGGACCTACTACTGTGTGAAGTTCCGGAGAGAAGACACTGTCGTCATGCCGTTTATGTCTGGTCCTGGCACTCAGCTCATTGTGAGTGGTAAGTACTTTGTGGGTCCTTCGTCCTTGGTGTGTGACAAGTCAATAAGAACATCATTGATTCTCTTTGCAGCAACTAAGAATCAAGGCACAGTGGTGCTTACAGTCATAATCTGATTCATGGTCTGATTCTACCCATTCTACAGATCAGGGACTTTGAGGCCTGGAGAGGTTGTGCTGTTTGCTCAGGCCCCACAGCTGGTAAATGTTGCAAAATGTTTGGAACGCCTGTCTGCCTGGCTTCCCAGCCCTTGGCTTTTTCAATCCTGTCCAGCTTTTTGGTTCTAGGGATGAGGGAGCTGAGAGTCAGAGTGACTTTCCTGTCACAAGGTCAGACCTCACCCCTGTCTCCAGAGAGTGCCCCCCTCAGTGCGGTTGAGCATCCCTTACCGACACTTACTGAGCACCTGCCAGTAAGTGGTCCAGAATCTGCTCTGAATGTTGTGGAAGCAAAAGTGAACAAAGCAGCCAAAGGTTCTTCTCCCATGAGCTCTGTTTTCTTCTCTCCAGTGAGGAGAAACTCATCCAGGGCAGGAAAGAGGAGAAAGTGTTTCTCTATTTCAGCTTCAGAAACATCAGACTGAGAAGAAATTCCTAAGAGGCACAGACTCACTGTTTACTCTGACAGCATTGGTGGGCGGAGGTGCCCAGAGGTTGGGTGTTTTCTGGGGTTCTGTCTGGGAAAACCTCTTCTGGTTTAGGGACCAACTCACACAGTCAGTGAAGGCTCTAAGAATGGCTGGGTTGTCTCAGACTGTCCCTCATTAAGGGAAAAGGTTCTCCATGTGGGTGACTTAGGGATTAGCCCTTTGAGGCAGCTTCTCTAGGGTTTTCTGCCAGAGGCCCAGGATCCTGGATGTCAGCACACGAAAAACATTTAGACCATCCAGCCTGACCCTACATGTACAGATGGAGCCTGAAGCGGAAAGATGACAGGGCCTTGACCACATTTCCAGAGAGTGGGGGGATTGTTCCAGAACTCATCTGATTCTAGGCTGGTTTTTTCTTGCCTGGTCCTTGGACTCTCTCCCTGTGGAAAAGCCTGGCACATAGTAGCTGCAGAATAAAAGACTGTTATATAGAACCATTTAACAGCAAGCAAACTTATCCTTTTATTGGTTTCTCCTAGTTCAGATACTCCCCACATTAGACTTTGAGGCTTGAGGTGATTGGGAACCTGTCTCAACCTTCAGCCACATCACCCAAATCAAGGATCCATATCAGCACCTAGAGCTGTTCATTGTTCAATAGCTGCATACACTCCAGAGGATGGACATTGCATCGCTCATTGACAGCTTTCTGTTGATGAATATGTTGTTCCCAACCTGAGGCTATTAAAACAGTGATGCAGAAGATAAACTTATCCATGTGTCACTCTACTCATGAGGGAGATGCCATTGAAAGGGGCATTGCTAGGTCAGAGTTATGTGCAGTGTAATTTGTGTGGATATTGCCAAATTTCTCTCCTAGGTGTGGTAGCAATGGTGTTTCCCCACAACCCCTGGACATAGCCAGAGAAGGTGTCTAGATATTGTTTGCAGATATTACCAAAGTTCCCAAAGCTGCATCCCTTTCTTAGGCAGCCATAGCTAGTAAGTGACTCCATCACCACTCAGATCGGCTGCCTCCTGATCAAGTGCTTGTTCCTCTTCCCCAAGCCACCTGCCCAGATGATGCTCTGGATGAGAAAGCAGGGGATGGCAGGGACAGGGAGCAATAGCATGACAGACGCTGTACCTTTCTCATGGCATTTACTCTCATAACCAGTGCTATGAGGGCAGCTGCTGCTCATTTTTATGAATGAGGACACTGAGGTTCGTTCATATAGGGGACCTTAGCAGCCAGCCTGTGGGGGAGTCAAGACTCAACCATAAGCATTTAGTCTTGCCGATTGCAAAAACATTGATGAAGCTAGAGTGTATAACACTAAGTGAAATGAGTTCAACAGAGAAAGAAAAATACCGTACGGTTTTACTTATATGTGGAATCTAAAAGAAAAGAAAACAAAACAAAACAAAATAAACAGACAAATGAAACAAAAACAGACTCAGAAACAGAGAGTTACGAGACTTACCGCGATGATCACATTGTACAGTATATAAATGTCTAATCACTGTGTTGTACCCTAAACTAATAGAATATGGGATGCCAAATACACTTTAATTAAAAAATCTTAAACATTCAGTAGCTTTCCCCTGCCCCCGCTGTTATGATGATTTTCCTTCTCTGAGTAGTCTGCAGGAGCACCCTGGGGACAGTGGCTCGAATAGAGCAGAGAGGAGCCACTGCAACCCCCGCAACACCATGCATGCCAGTTCCTGACGCCACAGACTGAGGATGAGAAGAGGGAGCATTTCCCAGAGGCTGCCAGAGGCCCCTCATGAGCAAGCGTTCATATTCTAGACTCAGCTGTCAGGAGCCCACAACTTCTGATTATTGCTCCCGGGTCCCCAAACCTGGGCGCTCGAAAGTGAATCTCCCTATCATTCCTTGAAAGCAGGAATCTCATAGAGAAAAGGGTAGGGCGGTGGTCAGTGCTGGGCCCATGAACGTGGGGCATTTGTCCTATTCATGGACATGAACGTTCTCCATGCTAGCCCTTGGTTTCCTCACCTGCGAACATCGGGTGAGCACACCAACCTTTAGGATGGTTTGAAGATACAGTGAGCCTGGTGAGAGAACAGACAGACCCTCAGTGAGCGGAGTTGCTGTCATCCCAACACTGTGTGGTCTTGGCAAGTCTCAGTTTCCCTCCTGTCTTCAGGTGTCCCACCTGTGACGTGGTAATAATCTCGCTACTGTTGAGGGGTCTGTGAGGCATTGGAGACCAGAGAGGAAGTGTTAACAGGAAGAGTAAGAACAATCAGTAATTATGTTCCTATGGCCAGATATGTGGGAATCGCCTGTAAAGAAAGTAGACTTTGAACTTAGGACTAAAATTCTCTGTCTGCCCTGCCCCTCACCTAGAGTTCACCTCTGGGGACCTGCGTGTCCTCCTCTGTGAGATAGGATGACGATACCAGGCTCCAAGCATTATTAGAGGGATTAAAAAATAATACATGAGAAGGTCCTTAACAGTGTTGCATGCTTATCCTTAGTGGTGATCATCACAAACATGTTTATTGCTTATTATGCTCCTTTTGTAGCCAAACCCTCTCCCCCCGTGGTATCGGGCCCCACAATGAGGGCGCAGCCTGGGCAGACAGTGAGCTTCACCTGCAAATCCCACGGCTTCTCCCCCAGAAACATCATCCTGAAATGGTTCAAAGATGGAAATGAGCTCCCAGCCTCCCAGACCACCGTGGACCCAGAGGGAGACAGCGCTTCCTACAGCCTCTCCAGCACAGCCAAGGTGTCGTTGGTCCCGGGGGATGTTCGCTCCCAAGTCATCTGCCAGGTGGACCATGTCACCCTGCAGGGGGGCCCTCCTCTTCGTGGGACTGCCAACCTGTCTGAGACCATCCGAGGTAGATGCCCCTCACAACCAGGCCCAGCCCATACCTGGCCCCCGCCCTCCAGGCCTGCTCCTCCCCCTGCTCTTTGCTCCAGGCCTGGAATTGCCTAGAATCTATTTCCTGACACTCCTTTCCATCATCGGGTACCTGAATGTGCTGTCACTCACTACTGTTTAATGGCAGCTGCCAAGTGAACGCCTACCATTCCGTAGGTAGTTTCATTTACTTTACAATAGCCACTCCAATTATCGAGCACCTACTGTAAGCGAAGCCCCTGTGTTCTTGGTCATTTCATTTATTTTGCTACAGTTAGTATGTTCCCACTGCATGCCAGGGGCTGTGTTTGTTGATTTTGTCACATTACCCTAATAGAAGCTACTGGTTCTTGAGCACCTACTGTGTGCAGGGCACTGTGCTTAGTGATTTTATTCCTATGCAAAGAGCACTCTCAGTGTCCGAGGGGCTGTTCCACGAGGTCAGAGCTTCTGCGCTGTGCTGTTTCAGTTCCGCCCACCGTGGATGTTACCCAACACCCCTTGTCAGAGAACCAGGTGAACATCACCTGTCAGGCGAAGAAGTTCTACCCCCAGCGCCTACAGCTGACCTGGTTGGAGAATGGGAACGTGTCCCGAACAGAAACAGCCTCGGCCCCCACAGAGAATAAGGACGGAACCTTTAACCGGATGAGCTGGCTCTTGGTGAATTTATCTGCCCATAGGGAGAATGTGATGCTCACCTGCCAGGTGGAGCACGATGGGCAGCCAGCAGTCACCAAAAACCATACCGTGGAGGTCTCTGCTCACCAGAAGAACCAAAGCACAAATGGACCCCCTGGTGAGGCTTCCACTACACTGACCCAGCTTTTTAAATTTTATCTTTATTTTTAATGTTAAAAGTAGTAATTCATGCTTATTGTAGAATGGTCTAGAAGTCTATAGATAGAACGCAGAAGCTCAAAGTGAGCTCCCATCCCCCAAATCCCACACTCCAAGAGTGGCCACAGGTAGAAGTTTGGTACACATTTTTATAGATTTTTGACATCAATACACATTCAAGACAGAGAGAAGGGAGGAGGGAGATGATCTGTTCACAGCGTCCTGCCTCGTGCTTTCTTCACCAGCTACTGCGTTCACCGTTCCATGTCTGCCCCACCCGCCTCCTTGCTCTTTCTAACCGCTTCCTAGTGTCCCTGGCTGCCACTGCAAGCCTGTCCCACTGGGAATGGGGCAGGGGTTGGAAATGGGGCAGGGGCTTCAGGATGTTTGTACTTTTCTAGTATAATCACTGCCACAAGGAGAATGTGAGGCTCACCTGCCAGGTGGAGCACGATGGGCAGCCAGCAGTCACCAAAAGCAGTACTATAGAGGCCTCTGCTTACCAGCAGGATCACAGGACAGATATAAACAGTGGTGAGGCCTCCACTCTAACTGAGCTGGCTTTTTAAATTTTATCTTTTTTTAATGTTAAAAGTACTAATTCATGCTTATCATCTAGAATTATCTAGAAGTCGAAAAATAGAAAGTAGAATTTTGAGGTGAGCTCCCCACACTCCCAGATGACCACTAGTAAGAGTTTGGTACATATCCTTACAGATGCCCTGACATCAATACACAATAAAGAAAGGAGGGAGAGGGAGAGATCATCTGTTCACAGCGTCCTGCCTCGTGCTCTCTTCACCAAACAATTACTGCCTTCGTCCTTCCATGTCTGCCCCACCCGCCTCCTCGCTCTTTCTAATCTCTGGCTAGTCTCTATTCTATGCTAGACTTTTCCATCGGGTCCATCAGATGACAGTGACTGGCCACAGCATGGACCTCCTTTGTCCCCTGATTTATGACAATGAACCAGTAATAATCACCATCGCTCCCTGCACATTTACCATATGAAAATTTCATTTCATCTGCGATCTTTCCTGCTTTGATGAGCCTGTGAGTTTCGGAGTCTTACAGAGGGAACTCACAGAGCAATAGTGGGATGTGAAGACTTCTTGTCATCACACCAGGTGATCGGGCTTAACTAATCAAGGTGAATCTGAGAACCGGGGTCCACCAACCTGAACAAAGAATATGTGCTAATTAGAGACACACTTCCCGTCAGCTGGGCATTGTCCCAAGGAGCTACAGAGACCCTTTTCTGTGAACAAAATATGGACCCCCTGGTGAGGCTTCCACTACACTGATTTCTCTCTCATGTAACATCATAAGTCAGGATTCTACGAGTCTTTACCACAAGAAACCTTTCAAAGGCCTACGTTCCTCCCAACCTGTGTATGGCGTTGTAATGTCTGCTGGGTCACTTTAGGTCACCTAGTGTCCATGTCTCTGCCTGTTGGAAGAGCAAACATAAAAAGGGGAGGACAAAGACTTTCCTGAAGATAGGAGGTATCAGATGTTGCATAAATGTTTCCACTAACAACGTAGTCATATGTGCACATCCTGTTGCAAATGGAGCCCTTAATCGTGTGGTCATGATTAAGGACATTGGTTTTTCTACAAAACCAATACAATTACACAGTTAATAAAACTGACAAGAATTTCTGGATATCACGTAAAATGAACTATATAGACAAATATTCCCAAATTTCATTTATAGCTCTTTTTTGTGCACCAAAATTGGTTTTAATTCATCTGTAATAGCTTGGAAGACTCTTCATGTGAAATCACTTGGGTTTCAAGAATCCTTTTCTGGATTTGAAAAAGATTTTAAATACTTCAGAGCTCTTCACATTACTCACTTTATTTCAGGTGAATTGTGGTAGGTTGCACTTTTTAATGAATTGGGTTCATTTTCTCTGTGTTGTCAAATGCCTGTAGACTTGTTCATAACATTCTCTCATTGATGCGCTGATGTCGGCGGGGTCTGCAGTGATGTCCCTGTTTCATTTCTGATACTGGAAATGTGTCATTTCCCCTTTCTTCTTCATCAGTCTTCGAAAAGTTTTTCAATTTTATTGTTCCTTTCGTGGAATCTGCTTTCTATCACTGATTTTCTCTATCGTTTTTCTGTTTTCAGTGACATTGATTTTTCTCTTTATTTTAAATTTCCTACCTTCCCTTTTGGGGTTGATTTACTCCCCCTTTTCTCATTTCTTGGGATGGGAACTTGAATTACTGATTTTAGACTTTCTTTTTTCTAATGCCACACCTTCTGTGCCTGGGGAGTTAGGCGACTAGAACCTACAACCCTTAAAAAATGCTGCGACATTCCTCCAGTCCTCAGGTCCCTAGCCACTGTGTCTTCTTCTTTTGCCTCTCAGAGTCCTCCTCTGCTTGTACCTGGTGTAATATCCAGGAGTCAGAGTTATACTGGACAGGCGAGCAGGAGAGATGAGTCTCCATTATATTGTCTGGACTGACTTGGGTTGGATTTGAGTCCCATCTACTGTAGGGGCTCAGACCAGGCTCTTATTTGCTGGTACTCTCAGTGTGCATGAACTAGTATGCTTGCTAAGCACTAAGCCTGGAAACAGTTTTTGGGTTGTCTAGATTGGTGAACCGGAGCAAAGTGCAGGAGGCCTATGTGACCCTCTGCACTGGGATGTCACACCTACGCCGACACCTGAGGACGCCACTCAATGCAGTTGTGGGTCTAGTGGGTCTGGTAGAAGGATCTCTTTGGTCGTGTTTATGATGCTGGGGGGAGGGGGTTACAATATTTCTAGATTAATGACTCTCTTCTCTATCAGGATAGCATAATCCAGGTATATTAATGGAAGTTTTGGGTTTGTTGGTCATTTTGATGGCAGGAGAAAGGTCCTGAGTTCTCTAATTTTTTCAGTTCTCCTTTCTGTGTCAGGACCTTGAATTAACCACACTGCCGCCCCCACCTGTCCCCTCCCCAACCACACACTCTGTTTTCCTTTTTCTCATCATCACTTGATTGCCAAACAGTACTTTTTCTTTCTGTTTTGCTTTCTCTCATAAGATTTACACTTTCAATTGTGCCTCTCCTTTTAATCACATTTGTCTTTCTAAATGTCCCTGCTTCCTTGTAGTAGGTGTCTTTTGCTGCTGTGACAAACGACCTCATGTTTAGTGGGTTAAAGCAACACAAGATTATTATCTGACACTTCTCAAGGTCAGAAGTCTACAATAGGTTGACAGGGTTGCGTTCTTTCTGGACGCTCTAGAGGGGAATCAGTTTCCTTGCATTTTCCAGCTTCTAGAGGCACCAGTTCTCCTGGGCTAAGGTGCCCACATCACTCTGAGCGATCATTCTTTCGTCACATGTCCTCCTCTGATTCTACTGCCTCCCGCTTTCACTGATTAGGAACTTTGTGATTACATTGGCTCCACTTGGATAATCCGGGATACTGTCTCCATTTTACTTCTTAACTGAATCACTATTGCTAGACCCTTTTGCCAGGTAAGGTAAAATATTCACAGAGTCCAGGGATCTGGGGCAATCCTTTTAAATCAGGCACACGGTGAAACATTTTCCTATGATCTGAGCTCTGATCTACAGGACATTTCCCCAATATTTTCAAATTTCAGGTAAATTCAATATTGGTGGTGGGATTTTCAAATATCTCTCAGGCCCCTTGGCTGGTTGCCCACGTCTGTTTCTCCAGCACTTTTCCTACAGCTCATGGAGGATGGGCTGACAGCCTAGTGACAGATTGCACACTAGGATTTGATGATTTATTTCTTTTGATTCATGGCTATTTTGCAGTTTGGGCATTTTCTTCTCAATTAATGCTGACAGCCAATTTGGGACAGAATGTAATTTCTTTCTGTTTATTTGTTTGTTTGTTTTGTTTTGTTTTTTCCTCTCTAGCTTGCTGAAGATAATTTTGGGGAAAGAAAGCTATGCTGCTGCCATTGTCCTCAGTAGTCCAGAAGTGGACTAAAGATTTTTGAGTGCCTTGATCCATATGTCCCTATCCCGCACCTCAGGGCCCCATACACCCCACCAGGGCCCTATTCAGGCAGAGCAGGCCCATTGAGGTATAGAGAACAAACCCCTCTGTACTCTGCTATTAATCTAATTAAGTCCTGGGCTTAATTCCCTTTACTCTGATTTCTGCCATAAGCCTGAGCCCAGAGCAGGTCCAAAAGCTTCCAAGTATTGATGGGAGCATACAGCCCCAACTGGAGTAAGTGAGGGCCCCTTGGAATGGTATTCTGTGTGGCCCCTCTAACTGCTCTTCCTGTCCCTTGATTTCCAGGCCCGGACCTGTCTATTCCTCTCATCCTAGGCTTCAAGGCGCTGCTGGCAGTTGGTTTCTTTGCCATCTATGTCCTTAAAAAGCAGAGGGCCTGACTGACTGTAAGTTGGGGGGCAGGGAAGGCAGGCCAAGGTCTGTCCCAAAGGGGTGAGGTAAGCAGGGAAAGACAGTCCACAGGTAACACAGGGTCAGGGTCCATGTGGAGTTAAGGGAAGGTGACACACCTCCCTCAATACCCTCAGAGGTCTCGGGGAATCCCTCTAAGACAGGAGTCCTCAACGCCCAGGCCCTGGGCCAGTACCAGTCCATGGCCTATAAGCAACTGGGCTGCACAGCAGGAAGTGAGTGGTGGGTGAGCAATCGAAGCTTCATTTGTATCTGCAGCCACTCCCCAGTACTAGCATCACCACCTCAGCTCCATCTCAGATCATAAGGCATTAGATTCTCATAGGATCACAGATCCCTGGGGCCAAAAATGTTGGGGACCGCTGCTCTATAGGTTTCAAACTACCAGGAAGTATGTGGGGTCCTGTAGGAGGGGGACTGGAACAAGAATTTTAAAGGGTGTCCACAGAGTGCTTGGGCTTCTGTGGAGGAAGCGGGCAGAAAGGGCTGAATGAGGGGTAGATCAGTGGTGGTTCCTTTGGAGACCAATTCTAGATTGCTTGATCGCTCAGACTCCTTGGGACGACAGGAATCCACATTTTAGAGCAATGTCTCAGTCCCGGATCAGCTGCTCTGAGGGCTCTTCAAGCTCTGTCCGTCTGCGTGACAGCTTGGAAGGAGTAGGGAAGGGTGATCAGGGCCTAGGGAGGAAGGCTGAGGTAGCAGAGTCTTATCTCAGCGGCTGCATGTCCTCTAACAATAGGCACCCCAGGAAGAAGAAAGCTCGGGGACATAGGAGACATGCAGAGAACATTGCTGGAATGATGAAGAGATCATCAAATGTGGACACATTGCCAACAACTCTTTTCTTCCTCTTCTGCTACGTTCCACCCTCAATCTCTGCTGCCTGCTTCCTTCCATGAGAGACCCGGTGTATGAGAAAACGGTGACTAAAGCTTCCACGGCCTCTGCTCAGAATGCCTCCAGCCACCCAGACCTCCTGCC